TTTAACGGTTGCACATGAGAAGACACATGAATATGGATTCAACTCAAACAAAGAATCTTATTCTCAAGAGAAAGGCACGTGGTTTGAAATGGGAAAACACAACGCCCAAGATAAAGAAGTCTATTTTCTTAAAGAAATAATTATTATGATAATTAGTCCCGTAGTCCGAATGGTCTAAGAGTTTATTGCCGGTTTTCACATGACGTCATCAAAACATCAAAATCTAAACTATAGATTGTATAAAGACATTTCTCAAGTATGTTTTAGAAGTCAGTGTTATAAGACACAAGAAAAAATCTCGAGTCATTTCGATGTTTGGTTCCCGAGTTATGAAGGTTGAGTTTGTGTCACGCAATACCGTCACGTCTTTCTAAATAGCGATGAAAATATTAAAATAATTTACTTTAGTTGAAAGATTTTCCCTTAGACACGTTTAAAATATCTATTTAAAGTATATTTAAGTGAAAAATAGTCAAACATATTAAATATTCCATTATTTTAAGCCTTTGGAATTTCGTCCGCCATGATGGTGTACCTACCTGGAACACCAAGATGGCCGCTCCATACATTTTAACCAAAAATTGCGTCATGTTTACTCGCCTATAGTTCCGCAACGAAATGCTTTACAGCCTTAAAATTTGGCCAGTATATGTAGTTTGGAACGCTTTACAAGATTATGAAACTTTTATTTCATTATAATGCGAATTTACGCTTTTGAAATTCATGATGACGTAGGTGAAAACCAAGAATAGAGGCCTTGCACCATCACGTGATTGCAGCCATGACAGGAGGCACAACAATAGTACGAGTCTTTCTCCCCTGGGAAACTGAATTCTTTCTCATGTAAATCAGATTAGACCAGATTCAATTGTTCCTGCGTCCTGTCATGGCTGCCATCACGTGATGGTGTAAAGCCTCTATAGCCCATAAGGCTGAGTGTCGAAGTTTATGAATTCGAAAGCGAAAGGACTAACTGTTTTAGTATAAACCTACTAAGTAAAATCAACAATAATGCAGTCTTGCGCATGCCATGACCGCCATCTTGAATTCTCAGTCATGCGTGGTGAGCTTCATTTTGAATCCAAGATGGCCGCAAGGCAAGACTCAATGCAAAAACAATTTTTGAATAGTTACCACTCTTTCCGTAGGCTTCCTTGGCCGCGCTAACAAGAGCCTGGGCTTGAGCCTTGCTGAACTCCAGTTTATTCATCTCGTCCATGACCTCCTCTAGCGCTTCTTTACTGATGCGACGTAGATCACTTGGTGTCAGTCCTACGATAGCAGGGCCGAGGTCACGCCACTGCTTGCCCGTCCACTTGCCTACGTCACTATACGATTTAAGATTTATACCACAGAGTTACATGACTGCAGCCTCGTGAAGAAAGAAATAATACTCAAGGGAATGACGTGGTTTGAGATGGAAAACATTACTGATGAATAAAGAAATAATACTCAAGGGAATGACATGTGGTCTGAGATGGGAAAACATCACTGATGAAGAAAGAAATAATACTCGAGGGAATGACATGTGGTCTGAGATTGAAAACATTACTGATGAAGAAAGAAATAATACTCAAGGGAATGACATGTGGTCTGAGATTGAAAACATTACTGATGAACAAAGAAATAATGCTCGCGGGAATGTTTTGATAATACACATACCTCTGCACAAAGTGTTTTTTGGCCAGTTTTGCCAGCTCTCTGACTTTCAGCTCATCAAACCCCTTGGACCTCGCTATGGTGTAGAGGTTTTTTACAAATGCATCTTGGGATATCTTGCTGAGTGCACCTCGACTCATCCCTGCTACCAGGTTTCCCATGTCCCGGATGTGGGTGGAGTTCAGTATATCGATTCCTGATTGGTTCTAGGATATCAGAAACGAAAAACAGGAATTGCAGGTTTGGAGAGATTTGGACAGGTTTGGACGGGTTCAAGGTGAAAAAATGATGGTGTATCTCGCTTTGACAACGTTTGGATCTATTCTCTATTTTCGCATGCCCCATAATACTTTGCGCCTTGGGGGTAACCAATCAAAACACTCTCCCAAAATCTAATGCATTTACCACCCCTGGGTGGACGGCTTAATACCTAACAGGTATTGCGAACTAATTGATAAGGCAGCCGGTAGATCGAATTAGAATTTAGAAGTTGATTTTTGAGGAGGGAGGAAAACCGGAGAACCCGGAG